TAGGAGTTATTCAATCCCCTCCCCTTGGCACCCCAGTTCATAGTCCAATAATAATTCAGCCATCCGCAGGTGGGAGATGTCTTCAAAATTCCATCATCAGGTTGGAATGCCGGACAGTTGTCCTTGGCGGGAAACTCCCTTCCACATGTGCAGAGAGATGGACAGAATAACTCCTAACAATACTCCTCCAGTACATTATGATTCTCCACCCAAACACCATGCCCCCCTCCCCGTTTCAATGGCAGCCGAAAAGCGGTAGCGAAGCAGAGGATGACAGGAGGTTTCCAAGAACAATGTCTCTACTATAGGATTAGTTGAATGGAAAGAGAAAGGCATCGTTTTAATTGATTAAAATAATGTTTAGATTTTACCCAGGGTCTTTACTAAGTGATCCTGTACTCAAGGGTATTTTTCTCCTGTGCGCTGCTTGGAGAGTCCAAGCATGGGTTAACACAGTCTATCTGCCCTAGGACTGAGTGAATTTTTCTTTGACCACACCTCCCTTTGCCTCATTGAGATCAGTTTAAAAACTCAGTCCGCCCCTTAGGACTAATGTTGGGAAGCTCCTCAGATCTAGATCAAATAGATTGGACTCTCCAAACTGTGCATAGAGAAATTTTTCCTCTTTTCAATTTTTGTATAGAACTCCCTTAGATAGAATAGGTAGACAACCCTCAAAGAAGAAAACCGATGTCCTTTTCAAGTTGCTGAGAGCGCTGCCGGGTTTCAGTGAGCTGCTGGTCGCATGCAGAGTAAGAACAAGGGAGTTGCTTGTCCGGTGGCTGCCAGCGAGCGAGGGGGCGGCGGGAAGCTTCCTGTCTGGTTTTTCCCCAGCCGCTGTTGTTAATAGCGCCGCACGGAGCACTTGGAAGCTCCGGTGGTGTCAGTGGCTTCCCCACAGCCCGGCAAGCGCGGCGGCCTTTTTAAAAAGCGCTTTGCACACTTTTTTGCTGGTTGTCAACCATCATCTTGGACTCTGTGAGCGGCGCGCGCAGCGGTGGACATTTTACAGTGACTGAATTACATTAGGAGCCGCAGGAAGATACGCGACATAGCGCAGATCGGGCAGCAGGTCTGTCTCATTAATTGGGCAGGAATCGAGGGAGTCTTCCCCCGATACCTCCTGGGGCTACCCAGAATCACACAGTTCATCCCTCAGAGAGGAGCTGGAACCCTTTCAGGGCATCCTAGCCGAGAAGGGCACTGGCTCGGGTGGGGGGGGGGAAACGGGCCGGATCGCTCCAACAAGGGCTCAACCCAGGGAGGACAAAGGCTCAGCCCTGTCCGTGGAGATGAAGGAAGTAATTGCCCAGGCCATCTCCCAGGGCATACTCGAGGGAATCAGGCAGAAAGATGCCCGCATGGCTGGAGGATCTAAAACAAGACCTCCCCCAGTTCAGGTCAGGGACCAGGCCCCAATCTCTCCTGGCACCTTGGTTGCCACAGAGGAATCGGTCTGGGAAGAGGAGGAGACCGAGGAATTTGAGTTATCTGAGGATGAAGATCTTCCTCCCGATAAGCCCGCCTTCACAGGGTTGTTCAAGCCATCCCTATTTAAGGCCATCCTACACAAAGCCAAAGCATCCACTGAGCTAGGGTCTACTCCTAAAAGTACGACCGTATCATCTTCCTCCT